TAACGTTCCATGAATAGATCGGTGTGGCTAAAGAAAGATAGCTCTCATTTCTGTAGAATAATTAACTAAGCGTTTCACTTGTCGGACATAGTTCATGGATTTATCGGGCAGATTCCTCTCGCGTCTTTACCTTTGCTCGAAGAAAATTGCACACCAAATGCGTAAGAGGCGCAGACTTCTATAACTGACAGACCGATGCACGCGTACTACTTTATTTACCTAACAAGACGTGGCGGAACTCTTGCCTCACTTTTCAGCTCGAAGGTAGCAGTCTAGTGGTATACAGAAGTCTGTGGTAAGAAGACTCGTATTTTTACGGGCCAAGTTTGCACTATTTAAGTTTCGCAGTCGACAGTTAAGTCGACACGAGTCTTACGTTTGCGAGTATTACCAAGTGATCCCGTAGAGAATGCACGAGAGTTGCGTAAAGAACGTTATTTGAACATCCAATTGAGGAATGATAAATTCTATACTAACGGACAGATATAAAGAGAAATATCGAATTACGCAACAAGCGATAAGATCAAGTGGGTAACGGTGTAAAGAAAACGTGAGAATACTAAAGTACAAGTGGCTCCTCTTTTGTAACTTGTCAGATCGAACAGTCCGAGTGTTTAATTTTTCAATTGCACAACTTATTAAATACCTGTTAATTACTCATTTTATTGCAGTACTCCAAGTATTTAATAAAATTGTAGATAAAATTGTGACAATACGCTTTAGTAAACAATTTTACCGTAAATTTCCCGAGAAAGTGCTCCTGCGTGTTTGAACAAGGATTTAGGGTTTCCTCCGAGACCCCTAAGACACATCGCAGACATCGGATTACCGAACTCGGGCCCTCTTGTTATCGTTGGAGAGCCCTTCGCCACCAAAGTTCCGCTGTTCTTATCCGAGCCGATCAGGCAGTCGTCGACCGGCCAAGAGCGGCTCTCTACTCAATGAATGATTTCCGCGCAACGTTGCCACATTACGTCTGCATTCTGCACCCATTACAGCATCAGCAATGCTATCTCGCGCCTTTTTCTCCCGTTCGCCCGAGCACGGACGATTATACGCGTTGCGTAATGCATCTGACGCATTTATTGTCCCGTGGCGTGCTAATTAAATAATTTCATGATACGGCGAATCGAGGATGCCGGTTAATTTCGTCCGCAATTTAACTCGTTTCCTGTCTTTTTCTCGATTCTAATTATCGCCCGGAGAGAAAAATCTAGTCAGTTGTTAAAAGAAAAGGATTCAGCAACTGTCAATTATACGTTCACGCCTTTTCTCTCTATACGCGTAATATTTGCATGGAATTTACTTTACGGCACGTTCGGATAAAAGAACCGAGGCCAAAAATCAACGTTGATTCTTTTATGCGTAGTTACAGTACGGGAATGATTGATCATCACACCGTGGCACGAGCACGTGATTCAGCTACAATGCAGTATAGGCGCGGTCGTCCCGTGATACTCGGTCGCGAGGCACGCAGCGATGCGCCTCGAGGAAATTCTCAGTAGAGAGGCAAAAAAGGTGAAAGGGCCTAGACGCGTGTCTGTCGTACCGGAAAGACCGCGATTAAAATTCAGTCAAGGAAAAAAACTGCGGGTTAATAATGAAATTTCCGTTCATTTCCATAAATTAAATCGTTCCTTTAAACTAAAATGATTGTTTGATAATCTTATTACTCTCAACTGTTTATCATTGTACTCTTTACATCAAGCTGTACACAGAGAAAAAGGTTTCTTTGGATTTAGTATTCCTATTTATTTAATCGAGATTTGTTTCATTGAAACAACATATGCTTGTACAAAACATTAGCCGTTTGAATAAAAATTTACTTGTTTCATTTTCAAACAATCTCTATTATTTCATGGAAAAGATACTATTATTTTCAAAGGTATTTCAAGTAATACCTTTCAATAATTATATTATTTGGCCAGACGCATATCAAGTTCGGTGCTACTACTAGATGGCCGCTGAACTGCTAAGTAAAATCACAGCGGCCAGACATATAAGCGACCGCATCAGCAGACGCAGTCTAATCATCTAATGGTCTATTCTTTATAGCTGAACATAGTGTACTAATTCAGTGTTTATCTTTCTTCCTCTAATGAAAGGAAAATTATAATGTAGAGGAAAAAAGATGTATGTACGTACATTTTTTTCACATATTTTCCATCAAACGATAATGTTGCTTGAATAAAACAATATCATTTAGATCACAGAGAATATACCTTCTACTTCAAACAAATATTTTATTTCAGACAAAGACAAGAAAATTTATTAAGTCCAAAGAAATCGTTTTCTCTGTCTAGAGAGAAATGCAACTAGATACAATTATATCTCCCGCTTCTCGAAATGTAATTATATATACTCCGCTTTACGACGGATTGACAAACGTAACGTCACCGAGAGACGAATCGATACCCAAAGTATCGCGAAACTTTATCCCTGTTATCGATTAATTATCTCACCTAATGGACGAGGCAAATATTGACTTCTAAACCGTATGATAATATTTGATCTGGCAGTTCCGACCGGAAAAGATCACACGCGATTTCTTATCGGCTACCATAATATCCGTACATAATGATTTCGTATCACGGATTGAGATATTGGGAGACTTGAGACAAAGATTTATCACTGTTGAAAGCATAAAAACGGGACGAATTACGTCGTGCAAACTAGTAATAAGATAGTGGAATCAGTGTGTGTATAGGAAATTCTCTACGTCCGTACATAATTTTCTATATACGGTAGTATTTTATGTATGTCGAGTATTAATTCTGTATAAAATTATACATTTCCATCTGTTTTATTCTCTCCGTTTCTCTCCGCGATTTCCTACGTTGTTTCCAAAGAGTTAAAACAGCTAAAACGCTACTTCTAGGTAATAAGGGCGGCGCACTCGCGTACACTCACACGAGGAAGAGAAGAGAAAGGAAAAGCAGACTACCGGCGCCATGCTGTAACGCCTCCCTTTGTCCCTTTTTACCCACAACGACCGACGACCTCGCGAGATACCTCGCGATAGACGAGAATCCAGGTAGGGAGGGGCGCGCAGAGATGTAGAGGAAAATTCCCGGGTATACAGAATGTTTAAAGGAGGGAGCTGTCTCATTGTTCAAGACCGGCACTATCGTCCCTGGCGATATTGACCATTCCGCCCGGGACACCGTGTAGGTGGCCGATGCACCGCACGCACGCAGGCCACGCACGCCACGCACGCGAGGTTTGTTTACAAGGCGCGTCTCTCGCATGGCACTCCGCTACCGGAGTTCCTTGACTCCGAATCCAAGTGAGACGGCTATTTCCACCTTGCGCGCAGCGTTCGCTGCCTCTTTCCCTTCGTCGTCCTTGCTGGACCGCCGCCCCCGCCTTACGCGCCTTTCGCCTGTCTCGCGACACGTTACCCTTCACCGTGTCGATTGCCTCAATTCACCGCCGTCCCGACATATCGCGCCGACCAGAAGACGACGCGTCGACGTCCGCCGAGTCTCAGCCCCGTCCCGCGTCACTCGTAAATCACGCAACCCCGTCGACGGTGGAAACGAATCGCCGGCAATTATCGTCCGGGTAATCGAAACGCGGTGGCGCCTCGTCATCACCTGTTAACCCTACCGGCGCCACGAACGGCGACGACTCTCTCTCTCTCTCTCTCGCCTGCCTATCGGAATTTGCGCGTACAGGAGAGACCCTCATTAGTTTACTTGGATGCGAGTGGTGCTGCGGATCGAAGCGACGAAGGCAAGCTCGCGTGTAAGAATCGATCGAGCGAAGCGTTCAAGTTCGCTTTGAAGTTCATTGAAAAGAGCGAACACGCTCCGCGTGCTTTTTGCGAGCCTCGTGTTTATGCTGCCATTGATGAAACTCGGCACATCTCGTAAATTGCGATGCGTAATACACCGAGGAAAAGTTAAACCCTTCGGAAATGCAGGGAATGCTAAAGTGATTCTACACCCTTTGCACTTTTCGTATCTAGAACTGTCGATTCATGAAAATATTTGTGTAATATACAAATTATGTGGCTTAACAAAAATCTATTCACCCGAAGAAGTCACAGGTTACCCATAGATTATGAACCTAGATTACAGATTAGATTTTTAAACTTCATTTCAATGATACCACGCTGTTCTCTGATTTAGTCCGGTTAGTGGAGCACTGTCGGTCTGCACACAAAAGCCACATAGTTTGTATAATACACAAATGTTTTCATGAATCGACAGTTCCAGGAGCAAAAGGTGCAAAAAGTGCAGAGTCACTCCAGCATCTTCTTCAATCGCGCGACAAAAGCAGCGGAATAATTATTTGAAAACAATCCGCTGTTGTAACGTAACTCATTTGCGACGCGGTAATATTTAAATATGCCCAAGTGCGCGTTTGTTAAAATATAAATCCGATATACGGTGAAATGCTACCGCATTGATGTGCGATAATTATTTCCAATATCGTTGTTTGCGGGACAGAAACGAACCGTGGCAGACCTGACACCGTCGTAGATAAATGAGAACGTTCACGGATGTGTGTTCGCGGTGGAATAGCACGAAACCGGATCGGCCGAGAAGAATGCCTCGTTCAATCCATGTAACACGCATACGAAGCAACCAATGACAGAAGCGTTCTCCAACATAATTGCCCTAATATCTCTTAACATCGCGCTGTCTTGCGATAACTCGTTCCACACACGGAAATCGTCGTTAAATCTCATTGCTACAAATGATATCCTAGTTAATACTTGTCCAAGAGCACTAATGTTTTTACGAAGAATCAAAAGCAAACACCTAGCTACAAAACTGATTATTACGTCAATTATCACGTATAACTCGGTCCCCTTTTGCATCATTAATATGCTCGCGCGCGGCTTCGCCGCGAGACGCCCTCGACCCCGGTTTTCACCAGCGCCGTTCAAGGAGACAATTCGAAAGAGACAAAGGATGAATGAAACCAAGAGGAAAGTTAAACGACGCTGGTGGAAAGGGGCATAAGTCGGTCGCTACGTTCTCTAAACTCACCGATCACCGTGTTCGCCGCCACCTCTTTGGCGGCAGCCGCGGCCGCCGCCGGTCCATGCGCCAGGAAGTCGCTGAGAGACAAGGACGACGCGATGATCTGTCGCTTCTCCTCGAAGTTGAGATAATCCAGGCTGTTGCTGCGCTGCGGCGCCGTCACGATCGTCACCGTCTTCGTCGTCGAGTGATGGTGATGGTGGTGATGGTGCTGCTGCTGATGATGCAGACCGCCGTCCAGACCGCCGCTCTTGTCATTGCCGCCGTTGTCGGTGGCGCCCGGGCTGGTGGGCACCAGGTAGACGCCGCTCACGCGTATGGACATCGCGCTCGGGGCCCGATCCTTGCAACGACCCCGTCTCTTTCGGCGCCACGGGCGGAGGATCGCTACGAATGCCGGCAACGGAGCTACCGGCTGGTCCCTGTCAACGTGGCGCGCATCCCGGTGTGCACCTGCTCGAGGGATCGGCGGCAGCGGCTCGCGTCGTCGTCGTTCGCCACTTCTCGTTCGCGGCTCCACGGCTTCGACGGTGAGGTGTCCCCGCGGCTGCCACGTGCCCGAGCGTGATCCCCGCGGCAGCGATAATGATCCTCGGGATCACGCGCGGTCGTCCTTGTCGACCAACTGTCGCCAATTATTCATCACTCCCGGGCGAGCGCGCATCTCATCTCGTCGCGCAGAGAGATCTCTTTCGGCTCTCTCCCCTCGTAAGCTTGCGTCGTTTATTATTATATGTGTATATATATCGAACGAATAACGCTCTCGTTATCGCTCGCTCGATTACAGACGTCGAGCCAATTATCTTGCGCGCTCCAGACAGAAATTTCTTCTTGGCGCGGACAGCGACTTCGTTACTCTATCGAGATTATGGCACGGAGGCACCTTGACGGGGTCCAGGGTAAGACGAACGTACGAAAGTCTCGTTTGAGTCGCTGGCTATTTACAACGGAATTCCTCGCGATTGGCACGTACCATGGAAAATAACTCGCGCGGAGAAGAGCGACGTTGACGACTGGAGGAGAGTCGCGTCCCTGCGCATCAACGAATGAGGAAAAGTTAACAGCCACTGCCCGACCGTCATGAATGGCACGCATTGTGTACGCTCGCGGGCAACCGACGATTATACAACGAGCGACGAGTTGGGTCTTTCTTTTTTTTTTTAAATATATCAGTAAAAGTGATTTAACGCGATGTTTGCGCAAAGCGTGAAATTGCGACTTTGTTAAAATAAGTGACACGCTGATAACGACTTTGTACTAATTCCCGATAATAACCGAACGTTAAACGGCAATTGTTAACCGGCGTGTGCGAGAGCTCGATTTGTGACAACTTATACGTTACTTGGAGGCGATCGGAGTGAATAGAAAGATGAGTAAAGCAGCAAATCGGGATCGTTCTTTAATTGATTCGCAACCTGCCTTTCTTCCCCTCCGCCCTATCTCCCTTCTATCCAAATCGACCGAGTCCTTATCTCGCCCGAGAATTTTATGAGATGCGGATCAAGGCCGAGGAAAATTTTCCGCGCGCGCGGCACGGCGGAAATGAAAAGAATTTCCCCGAGGCTCGATTCATCCGGCGGTAGATTGGATCGCGTTGTTCCGCACTTGGCGGAGGATATCGAGAAGCGGCTGCTTTCCGCGCGATATGAAACGCCGGTCATCGATATTTAATTACCTCGGCGCGATTTACGGACAGATCTGCGAGGGATGAAATCATTTTCAAGGGCCGGCAGACCGGGCGCTCTAATGAAAGCGCGATGAAACGCGATAACAACTTTATTCGGCGCATGTGTAAAAATAGAAATCGATTCGTCTTTTCGCCACGCAGCTATTGTTAAATGCATGAATACGCGCGCCCGTCGTGTCGCCCTCAACCGAACTGCGATCAAAATAAAGCGCGAGCTTGCGTATCCCAAGTTTGTCACGTTAAATTAATTAACCACGCCCCGACGCCCCAATTCGGAAGATCGCTCGAACCGCGAGCGAGCGAGTCGCCTCGATTCGACACGAAAAGAATCCCCGTTCACCGGCGGCTCCGTGACGTTCGACAGATTATCGGCTCCGCTCCGCCAGCGATTCTGGCGCGAGCGCGATCGGAAAATTCCGCGGGCAGACCACACACACACACACTGAACCCTCGTGCGTCGGGCACTCGGCACAATTCACGGCTTCTTTTTGTCACGAGACCGTTTCCCGCGGAGCCGAAACGGCGAAGCGTAGCTCGGAGCGTCGCGCGAAGAAGCGTCCATTCACCAACGCTCGCGCGACCGACTGACTAACCTCCAAGGACAAACGTCGTCCGCGATACGAGGGCGTGTTGTAACCGTCGTAGGCGTAAACAATTTTCCTCGCCTCGTGCTCTCGCACACACACACGCACACACAAACACACGCGGGCGCGTACGCGCGCGAGCGGAAGAATGGACACGCCGACGAGGGGACGCGGAACCGCGCGCGAGATCGCGTTACCGTGCAATACGTACGTTATTCTGGCGGTCGTCGGTGGACGATGACGACGGACTCCGGGCAGTGGAGGGCTCGTTTTTCTCGGCAGGATTTCGGGAAGGGCCGTCGAGGGGCGGCGCGCGCGGGGGCCCCGGACGTGAATATCACAGAGAGAGCGGAGAGGCGTCGGCTCTCTTTCCTCCGTTCGGCTTCCACGAGACACCTGTCCGCGCCAGGCGGACGAGGAGCGCAGGTGAGAGGAGAGCGAGACGGCGATAGAGAGGACGCAACGATCGTAAACACACGGGAGCGGCGCGTAGTACTCCAAACTCCGTAGCACGAACGTGGAGATTCGCCGCCAGAGTCACGCGGACGATGGGAAAGGCGAGAGGCGGAGAGAAAGAGAGAGAGAGAGAGAGAGATGGCGACCGAGGGATGGCACGGTAGAATCCCAGCGATCTTCCTCGTCGTCGACGGCGCCGACGACGCTGCTGTACACAACGCACCGTTCACGCACACTGACACACGGATACGTGCCGCGCGAGCGACACAAACTCAACGGACGCCGCCACCGCAGCCGCCGCCGCCGCCGCCGTCGCCGCCACCGCCGCCGCCGCCTCTTCCTCTTGCTCGCGCGAGAATGAAAGAGAAAGAGAGAGAGGGGGATATCGTTCGCGGCGGCGGAGAATCGCGACGAGAACGGCCGTCGCGTCGGGCGGGACGGATTCGCGAACGGAATTAATTGCGAGCGTCGCGCGGACGGCCGACGGTGCGAGACGGGCGGCCGGGGACAACTGGAAACGACAGTCACGGCGACGACGAGCGCACCACGAAACACACACCGAGCGAGGCTCGCGAGTACTGAGGGCGGCCATGCGACCGGAGCGCCTTCTCGCGTCCGCGGCGCGGCCGCGCCAGCAGCGGAGCACGAGACGGCAGCAGCCGGCTGCCGCGCCGAGCCGAGCCGAGCCGGGCCGAGCCGGGCCGAGGGAGAGATGAGAATGGGATGAGGCGCGCGAGACGCGGAGCACGGGAGAGAACGCCTACGGTACGTTCGCCGTAACTCTCACCCAATTAACGTGTTGCTCTCCGTGACCATAGACTCGTACACTAGACTGCGCCATCTCTACGATATAGAGAGAGAGGGAGGGCTCAAGTGAGTCTATGTGTCTCTGTCCGGCTTGTTCGTTTTCTCCCCACTCTTAAGAGGATGCTAAAGTCACATTCGAATATAGTTTTTGCGCTGCTGAATCTTTTCATTAGTTTTTACGCCTAAAATAATACCAAGATAAGTTGCGGACCGCATAGCAGAACGTTTTTATACTTGAAACACTCGGGTCAGAAGTCTAATGAGAAAGATATTGGTATTTGAAATTTTCAATTTTTTAATCGTGAGCAATTTGAATTTGGCTTTATAAAATTACAAAATTCTTCCACGCGATTACAGTACGCGTAAAAACAAAGCGGGGGGTTCACGACTTTATATAAAAAACGAAGAGAAATTAAAAATATCGCTTTATAAGTAATTGTGGTTAGGCTTCACATGCCGATATTTTTAATTTCTCTTCGAGATAACTTTAGCATCCTCTTAACGCCGCATTTCATATCTCTCTAAATCTGAATCAGTGGAAAAGTCACTGATTGAATTAGTAACGTCTTACATCGCTGATGAAACAGTGAAATGGCCGAACGCGCTGCGCAATCAGCGAGAACGGCGAAGTTCACTGATTCGTCAGTGGTTATATCGTTCTGCATTTATTTAGTGGCCTCTGAGCAAGTTCGTGCGTGAGTTTATAGTTTATCTCCAGAGAATCTTTTATTGGGGTAAGTACATTAATAAGTATACACACATTACTAAGTAAAAATTTTTGCGTTATTGAAAGAAAAAATCGATGTATGGTATGAGAACTGGCATGTGAGCCGACCGTTCTTATACCATATAGTATGTACATTAGGTTATATTGTAGTTTAGGGTTACGTTCCGAAACTTTCTTCTCTGAGGAAAATTTTATTCGATGGCCATTCCGAAACTTTTTCGAGAATTTCTGATTGGTTCGGATCCATCTCTCAAGTAAAATTTTTCTCGGAGAAGAAGGTGACGTAACCTTCTACGTTGCTTTGTGCCGGGACATTGTGTGTACATTCACTAATCAATAAGTAAACTTTTAACTGATTAAATCAGCATATCTTCGCTGATTCATTCAGCATCCGATCAGTTCACTGATTTACCAGTTGAATTTAGCTGATTATCAGTGGCATACTTAGGGCTGATAAATCAGTGAATAGTCACTGCCAATCAGCGACTATCCACTGATTCAGATTTAGAGAGTACGTCTGCACTCTAATGTTTAGGACAGCGCGTCCGTAGGGATGGCGCAGTCCAGTATACATATAAGTCTATGCCCGGTATTCATAGTCCGTTCTT